TACATTTCATCCTGTCATTTACAGAATTAAAAAATGGATAATATTTATAAAATATACCCACCAAACATGATTTATATGAGCTATCCCCAGTCATTTACTACAGTATTGTCCATTAGTTATATGTAGTATAGCATTCTGTAGTAAAACTCAATGGAAATAATAAGCTTCAGCAGACGTGCGTTTAATAGCTTTTTTTTGATTAGACATTATCTAGTTTTGGATCAATAATCTGTATGATAAAGTGGGAACCTTGAATTTTTTGTGATGGTATGCAGGTTTGTTAGGATGCAAAGGTGTCCAACTGCATGTGGCCCAGGATGGCTATGAATGCAGCCCAACATGAAATTGTCAATTAACTTAAAACTTTTTTTTGCTCATCAGTTTTTGTTAGTGTTTGTGCATTTAATGTGTGGCCCAAGACAACTCTTCTCCTTCCAGTGCGGCCCAGAGACGCCAAAAGTTTGGACACCCCAAGAAGGCTTTTGTTTTCCATTCTGCAGTCCTGTAGTTTTGCATCAGAACAGTAATTGGCCTTCAGAGGGATGTTTTACAAGTGAGAGAGGGATGCACCAAGGGAGCATTACCACAGTGATCACTCCTGTGACCACTACCCGCTGCACGGCGCATACTGAATGCCGTGGTTCGGAGCACTTGACTTTTCCCAGGATCGAATCCGAAAATCTGAATTGGGGGACTCTCTTAGGTTCATTCCTCCCTGTCCAGGACGCAAAAAGATGATCTGAGTTAAAGGGTTGTGCATGGAAGCAATTAAACTTCTTAGTGCTCAGATGACTTTCTCCAGATGAGGTGTTTCTCTTCAGTTGACCTTGGGACCTACAGTATCACTCTTTTCTCAGCAAAGTCTTGTGACTTTCATGACGAGGTAGTAGTCACCTGGAGGAAACTGACATCCAGTGTAGTTCAGAGGTTAATTATGTGGACCTAGGGTTCCAATAGACTTTAGTCTGAGTACTACCCCTTACTGGCTGTATGATTTCGTACAGATTATTTAACGTTCGGTGTCTCAGCATTTTTATCTGTAACATGTTATGGTACTAAATACTTTAAACACACAATAATATATGCATAAGTTTGCTATGTAGCTTCAAATAAGATAATTCTCAGAATCTGTGTGAAATACTTTAATAAACAAATGATTACCTCAATAAAAGCGAGGTATAAAATGTGAAGGGATAATGTAGATATATTGATGTGTTAAAATATCATTTAGAGGTGGAAATTAAATGGAAGTGAGTAGACCAATAATAGTTAACATTTAATATATCAGTATGTGCAAAGGTGGTTATTAGCAGACAAAGATGAATTGAAATGACAGCATTCACATTAGACTTCAGACTTTCTAGAACAATGATTAATGGGGAAAGGTCCATGGTCTGAGGAACAAAGACAGTGTCTAGTGCATTATGTAGCACTGCAAATGGATCTTCAAGGCTGAACACTATACTCCAATCTTTGTGCAGTGTGGCTTTCAGGCTACATTACTAAGGAAGCACCAGCCCTTTCCCCTGGGATTCTACACCAGTGCAACATGGCAAAACCTTGGTTCTAGTGCAATTCTGCCTGTCCCATACTTAGGATTGGGAGAAGATGAAGACTTTCTTTGGTATATCACACAGGCTGGCATCCGAGTCTTGTGGTGGCCGCTGGTATGATCCTGCAGCTCACTGCTCATGGTTGGAGGTCCAGTTAACATGGCAGAATAGGAACCAGGTTCATTTATTACCTCAAAACTCTACCAAGATTCATTGCCTTAAAGCCTTGGCTGTTTTCTCTGAAGCTTTCCAGGAAACTAACCCAACAGGGATGATTTCCTAGAAAAAGTAATCCTTAACTCTCACATATTAATTGAATCGATTTTCCTAACAATTTTAAAATATTTCTTTTTATTGATGAATAAACTGAGCCATGGGGCTTAAGTAATTTACCCAGAGTCACACAGGAGATTTGTTGAAGAGTTCGATTCACATTCAGGGAGCTTGGCTTCAGAGGCCATACTTGTGATTTCAAAAAGATGCTTTAAAGCTAATTCTAAAAAACAGAAAATAAAAATAATACAGTAAATGCTGAATCCTAGGTGGATAAAACTCCCACAGAAGTCTAAAAATAACCATTAAGTAAATTTTAATTGGCAACTCAAAATTTGAAAATAGTGACTACTTTAAGGGGTATCTCAGGTGAAGATTTCTAAAAATAGAGATGGAGGGGCTCTGGCTGTTGTCCTCTGGCTGAAGGTCCAGACACAGCACCCACAGGCCAGAGACAACTCTGATAAAGACCGTGACTGATGAGCCAGTAGCCTAGTCTCAGCCTTCAGTTGGCAGCAGTCATAGCTACAGAAGATGCCCTTCCAAAATCTGGATCTGCAATATATAAACACTATCTCCTGTCTTCTCTCCACTCTATGGAGGTATAATGACAAATAAAAATTACATATATTTAAGGTGTACAAACTGACATTTTGATATACATATATAGACTGAAATGATTGTCACAGTGAGGTTAACTAACTTATCCACCAACTCATATAGTTACCATCTTCCTTCCTTCCTTCCTTCCTTCCTTCCTTCCTTCCTTCCTTCCTTCCTTCCTTCCTTCCTTCCTTCATCCCTTCCTTCCTTCCTAGAGCACTTAAGCTCTACCTTCTTAGTAAATTTCAATTATACAGTACAGTATTGTCAATTATAGTCACTGTGCTGTATATTAGACCTCCAGTATACATTATCTTGTGTGACTTAAACTGGGTACCCTTAGATCAATGTTCCCCATTCCCCCTACACCCCAGCCCCTGACAACCATAAGACCAAAGTGCGTCTCTCCAGTTCCCTTGTTTATACCCACATTAGTGCTATTTGTTTGAAGAGGAGGGAGGTGAAAAATTGATGGATTCACAATCAGAGATGATCCAGCCAACATATTCTGTCTGTAAAAAGTGAAACACATTTTTGAACCTCTGACTCATGGGACTTGAACCAAAGCCTTTCAGCCTTAGTTAAGCCTTAACTCTTCTTGAAATGGAAAATATTTTTTTGACAACCTATCTTCCTTCCTAAAATTCATGCTTTAAATAGTATTCTACATATGCAGATGTTTGCATTTAGTTAATACTAAATCTTTTCTAAATTTTTATTTGTTATGATGTAAAGAAAACATTTTATTTTATTTTTGTATACTTCTTTAATTTTACTGAACACATTGGAAGGTTGTTTTAAATTTTGTTTAAATGTTCTTTGAACCAAAATATTTACAGAACAAGGAGTTCTCTAGCCCGCAGATCGTTCCATTTGTTGTGTTTGAGTGTGGAAACATTAGGAATGACAGCATAAGACGGTGCCCCAGAGCTTTTTCATAAACAACCTAATAGCATTGTCTAATGCGGTTTTTGTTTATTAAAGGTGTCAAAGACTTCTTTGCTATATTTAGGTTAAATCTAAATTTCTTTACTCAAGCATGGAAAATATTGTTTGTTTCTGGTTGGGAGGAAAGCAGTATGACCAAATAAAAGAATTGCACTTAACTGGAAACAATTATTAAAAGAGTCTCAATTTCAAGATGGAAAGAAATTGTAATTCTGTTTTTGTGTTTTTTTTCAAAAGGGGTCCAGAAATGCTAATATTTAGTACCTTGTGTGAAAATGTGGTGTGCGTTTCTGTCTTAGCCTATGGGCATTAGTTGATAAATGACTTTATCTTTTAATTGGAGTTTTTAATTTATTACATAATAGTTGAACAAATACATTTTAATAATAATAACTGATACTGTGGCTGGGCACTATGGTTTCTATATCCTATTTTCTAAGACCTTATGTTATACTTATTGTTAATAATTGAGTTTAAGAAATATATATATATATCAGCTTTAATAAGGAAACAAGTATATACTGAAATCATTTTGGGATGGCCATCACAGGCAAGAAGGAGCTCAGTGTTTGTAACAATAGAGGAAAATGGCCTTAGAGTTTAAGAATGTTTATGTTGAAGAGTAGAGTTGGGTGGTTAAGATTTGAATAAAATATAAGTAGATTTGGTGTACTTTAATCACAAATTCACAATTGTAGATTTAATCTAATAGGAATTACATACACATTCATCTACTTTATGTGTACATGTATTAAATTGTACATTCTTAATTGAAAAAAAATTAAGAGTTACAGGGTTTTGTGCTTTAGTAAGGAGCATGCAATGCATTTTAGATATATATTTGTAAAATATTCTAAATGTAATGCCAGTATTAACCACTAAAATGTGACTTCCTGTGGAACTATTATAGCAGAGAAAAGATTATAGAAGATCCATTGTTTAGTAATTAGGTTGTTTATATTATTGTAATAGAAAAAATAGAAATTAATTGGAATGTTGAACTACATGGAATAAAAATCTTATTAGGTAAGTTTTTGTAATAATATATGTACCATATTTTTCTAAATCTTGTCTGGGGTTACCACTGGTAATACTCCCTTAGTCTTTTCTTTTATTCTAGATCAACTCTTTTCTCTGTCACATATTATTATGATAATTTCTTTTTGCTTTCCCTGCTTCTGGTCATCCCAGGTTTTGTTAAACCTGTTCTTTGTGACTGGAGTAATTTAATGTGCTTCTAGAATCTTCCAACAATCCCTGTCTAACCAACCTTTTAATTTTATTTCAAAACTGTCTGCAAAAAGTCTCTATAGGAAAAAAAAATGGGCTACTTGCCTATACCAGAATATACCCTGTGCCTTTTCTACATTTTTTTCTTATCTGAAAAAATTTCCCAATATCCTTGTTTGCTACAATAATAATTATTTATGGACTAGTGCAAATTCCTTTTTCTTGGTAGCCTCATAACTGAAATTATTTGTTTTAACTTACATATGGTCCTTGGCTCTATGTGCCTATAGCAATTTTGTGCTCATTTGTAACAAAGTTGTTTATGTTCATGTTTGTTCTTTCTATCTAATTTGTAAACTCTTTTTTTTCCCCTCAATTTTGTTTTTATCCTAGCATCTAAAAGTCACATCTGGGTCTCTGTGTCATGCTGGCAGAGATCTTCAGCAAATCATCTTAGAGCAGTGCTACAATTTTGTTTGTGTGAATGTAAGTAGTAAATATAAATGGCAAAGCACTTGAGGATCTTACAAATGTAATGGGGAAGAGAACTTAGGTTTCTTGGTTATTAAATATTTGACTTTAAGATTTTGATAGATGAATTGTGTTTTTAAATATGTACTTGGAAAGTTTATTTTTTTATCTTTTGAAATAGGAAAATAACATTTTCTAAGGAGCTAATTACCATAAGGAGATGGTGATAATATTTCTTTAGACAGAATTTATAATTTTCTGTTTTGTTATAAGCAGATAAAGCTACACAGGTTAGAATTAATAAATAGTACAAATTTTAGTAAGTATAAACTTATGGGTATTCTTTAAAATATATTAAAATTTAAAAATTGGGCTTTGTACATATTTTGAATGCTATGTAAAAGTTCTCCATGTTTTCTCCTTGAATTAATTTTAAAATCATTTAAGAACTTCTTTTTACTTCCTTCTACTTTTCTGGTCTTTCAGGTTATGACCTCTGAATTTGAAGAAACCCAGAAATTACTGAATATACTTAAAGAGAGTAATCTTTCCATCTTGTATCCTGTTGTTGTTATTTCAGTAAGTGAATTAATGCAGATTTTGCTCTTTATACATATGCTTCCTCTTTTGGAATTCAACTTTTTATTTAACAAAATTTCATCAAACTGAGGAAATCCATCCAAACCCTAAAGAAGAAGCTCTTTGTAGACTCTTGAGTTTACTCTCTTGCTAAGATTTCTGTTGACGGCCTGCTCTTATTTGGTTGAACAGACAGGTTTGGAAAACAATGTAATTCAACATGGCAACCAATTTCATTTTATTTTCCTCATTAAAATCTCAACGTATGTTGCTGACTTGACTAGTTGTTTGGATAGTGTAAAAGAGCTTTATTTAGAGTATTATTGGGATGCCATAAGAGAAGAATTCCTGAAGTTAAAAAATATGAGGGGAAAACTCAGAAGGACGAAAATGTACTCTTAGGTTGTTTCATCTTCTCTGTCCTACAGAGCCAAAGCAGAGTGAACAACAGATTAAGAGAATTCCTAGGAGAATAGCCCATAAAAATTTTGGAGAGAGATTTCTATGAAAGACTAAAAGTGTTACATTTAGTATAGAATTTAATTGTGTAGCTCAGGGGAATATCAGAGAGCAAAGCCAGGATCAAAGAAAACCATGGCCAGCCTGCCACAGGGCTGAGGAGCCATGTCCGGTCGGCAGCATTTTGCTGTGGGAAGGGGTTCCAAACAGGACATTCTCAGCACAAGTGCTTAGCAACTGCCAAGTTCCTAAAGCTCAGGCCTGTTCCATAGTGTGGTAATTTAATTCTTGTTAGGTCAGATCATTCATACTGAATAAAGATAATTTGTGCTACAGATAGGTAATTCTAGACTAAGCAGTGCAAGTAGGAACAAATCAGCAATTGAAGGAGGTTTATTTCAATGTCCTGTTTTATTTGGTTATGTGCCCCAAAGATAAGTTCCACATGCGATTGATTTTAACGGAAACGTAGATGTTTTAATTGAGATTTTTTAGGAACACTATGAAATGCACCTCGAGCAGAAAGACTCTAATACTCTGCAGGATAAGTTCAGAGTTCTGTGTTTGGCTCTTTATTCCTCTGTCCACATTATAACTTGCTTAGGAATTTCATTTAGTTCTTGTTCCCAGGTATTATTCTAAAGAGACAGTTAAGCGCTGTGATGAGAGCAAGGGCTTACAACACAGAATGCCTTAGTTCCTTGGTCCAGTTTCTGAACTTTTATGAGGCTTGCTTTCTTCATTTTAGAAATGAGGCTTATAACCCTACCTCTTAAATCATTAAGGATTAAAATGAATGAATGCAAAGTGTAGTTGATATCACAGTGCTGGGCCTTTGGCAGGACCACAATGTTAGTTTCCTTTACTAGTCTAGCTCCTTTTATGTCCAGCTGGGGTGGGATGACTCAAAGTTTACTTCCTTTGCTTTAATCTGATTCCTGAGCTTCAGTCATACATTTTCCAACATTCTGTCAGGTACTTCCTTTTGAGTCCTTAGCTATCTTCTCACACCTTATCAGATTTATCAGGAAAGCAGTCTGCATCAACTGACTTCTCTTAGTGGGAATGCCACTGTGACAGGTACCCAGGTGAGAATCAGTGTTACTTTTGAATTTGCCTTCTACCTTTGTCTTCTGCCTCTCCTTGTCTCACACACACACACACACACACACACACACACACACACACACACACACAGAGTTGTTTAAACTGTTCTATTTCATGTCCACTGTTATAGCTCAGCCTCAGTCCTTTGTGTTGCTTCCATAAATATTTGAATTTAATTTTCTGTTGACTTCTGTTGAGTTCCATTTTATGTATCCCAGTAAATGCAAGACTTTGTTTGGCTGCCTGGTGTTCTGTATCAAACTAAGGCAAAAGATGGATGCTTCTCTAGTTAGTAAAGAAATGTCTCTCAGGACTAGTGTGAGAATAATATTATAAGTCTGTATACTGTAAATCTATGCATTATAAACACTGTAAAATATTCATCTTGAACTGGAGAGTTGTCACTCCATAATTAATATTTGTATACCCATTATTATTGCATAAATAGATTCACTGTGCTGATATTAAGGATATTAAGATTAACAGGAAAATGTCGTTGGAACATAATCTAGAATACGTATCCTTAGGATGAAGCAAATCACTGGGAAGGTAGAGTAAAGAATGGATATTTAGTATGGCCAGATTTTATTTCAGGTTCTACACAAATCTTGATTGTAAAAATGTCAATTTTCTTTGGCTCTTTGGCTTTTATGAAAGTGAACTGGGTTAGGGAACATTTAATATAGGAGGTTTTTATTTTCTAAGGTAAATGAGTGTTAGTAGAGCCTACTGCTTTAAGAACCACTTGAAAGGAATAAAATTTTACATGAAGAGTACAAAAAAATAATTGGGACTTTATCTTAAAATAACTAAGGTATTTATTAAAATAATTTTATCTTCTAGTTAAGAAAATTTGATTACACTTGCAAAACTGAACTTTTTTGAGTAATTTTGTGGCTATTATATAATATATTGTAATGTTTTTCAAGTGGTCATTTTTCCAAAATATATTGGACATTTTTAGTTCTGTAGTATTGTCCTTTGTTAATAATTTGATGTTCAACGTGCTCTTTTGGAGCTCTATTCTTATTTTCTTTCTTTATATTTTAAGTTGTATAATTTTGCCAAGTTCTTATTTGTTGATGGTGTTGAGTATGATTTCAGGAGTTTACCAATGTTAATTTGATCAACTTTATATATCCTATGTTTTGGTAGATGTAACCTAATTTCATTGTAATTATATTAAGTTATCAGAATTTCCCAAATATCTATAATCAGCTCAAGACTGAGTGATGGTAATGTTAACTACTTGGGCTAAAATCAATGCCAGCATTCAAATGGGCAGAGATAGTTGGCTGGGGTCACTTTATTTGTTCTGTTTCTCAGTGAATCTCTCTGTGTGCATTTTGTATCATATACAGTCTTTTAACTGCAAGCATTTGGAAGCCCATACTCAGATAACAAGCACACCTTGTACTAGGAGAATACTCCCTACTTGAAAGAAAAATATAAATAAAAACAAACATTGTTTTTATTCCAGACTGGTTGGCATACAGGAATTTTAAAAATTTAGATCCCTTTTTATGTCTTTTAACAAGACAAACTTATAAACATTAAAAACCAGTAGTTTCTTCTGTAAAGGTAAATAGTGCATGAATTATGTTTGAGAGTTCTTTTCAGATGTGATTTCTGATGTTGTTTAGTCTATTGTATAAGTTATCATAGAGCCAAAGTTTTTATCCGGAGATCACTGAAGTTACCGCTGTTAGCCTCTTATTTGTGGTTACTATGGGGTCTATAGTACTGTTAGCACCTTTTCAGATTGTAGCTCTCAATAGGATCACCTGGAAGCTCTATTTGGAATCCCCAGGTAGATAATAGAGATCACCATTGGACATGTTCAGTTTTCTATTTTCTACTCCTATTATGTGTTTTTATTCACTACTTAAATAATGACAAACAAATATTTAGACAAGTGATACATTACATGTATTAAAGTAGTATAATTTCATAAAGTTTCTCATATAAAAATCACTCCAAAAGAACATAGGCTAAACAAAAAAGTGCCAAAAGCGAATTATAAACTGAATTCTTGATTTAGAAATTAATGATCAGAGAGCTGCTTTTTTCATAACGATGGAAAAGAGAGTTTCAGGAGACAATTCCAGCTATAGCTGTTTTCTAGTCAAGATTATGTAAAACTGAAAAAATACCTTCACATGTTCTGAAAGTAAACTAGGGATTCTAATTTATTTGGGTCTGGCAAGATTTTCCTAAAACATTCTTATTTAAAGCTTATTTTTTTCGATGAGCATAGCTGCTTCATATAGTAGGCACCAAAGAAATGATTGATTTTTAAAAGCAGAAAGTAATTGGCAACACATTTAAATAGAAGCTTAAAATAAAAAAAATGAAGCAAACTTTTAAATTTTACTTAATAAAGTAGTTTATCACATTTACACAGCAAAATAATTTTACATAACAATTTGGACAATTACATTTGAGTTCGACTTTTGTTGGCAATTTTTTTGGTGCTTTATGAGAGATAAGAATCTCTTCATGAATTCACTTGAGCAAAACAAATTATCATATGGAGTTTTAATGCTTGGAAAATGCATAAATAAACCTTCAAGAGTGCCTAATTTAGTTCTAGTTACTAGGAAGTAGTTTATTGCCACAACAGATCGAATATATGATCTTGAAAATACTTCAAAATGTTTAATATTTGAACATGTCAGCAAATAAAAAAATAGAAAACCACTCTCCATTGACACTTGATACTTTCACATCTGGGGAAACTGTCACAGAGATGTAAATTGTTTCCAGAACATTCCACAGCTCACCAATGTCAAAGCCAGGAATAGAATCAATCCAATATGCAATGTATCAAATACACTTGTTACTTTTATGCTCTCATGAATGTGTTAAGTAATAAGATGGAGCAAGATTAAAAATATACATATACATACATATATGCATTTAATATTTCTTCCTAATAAAGAACAAATGACAATTGGAAAAACATATAGATTCCCTCTTTTAAGTGCTAATGAGTTCTTACTTTAGCTTCACAGGGTATTGGGCCTTTATTGAATTTAATTTTTATAAAAACTCTCTAATTCTGTTAAATTTCTTACTAGATCCTAGACATGTATCTTTGTCAACTTTTACTTAACTATTTGTTCTATATGCTTCCTCCTGTTAACCCTATTATCACTAGACTAAGGAAATTTGTTTTTAAGGCACAAGTTCTAATAAAACAAACAAACAAACAAACCAGAGCTGGCTGTTATAATTCTTGCTGCTTCCATATTGGGTTTACTTTTTGATAGATAGATAGATAGATAGATAGATAGATAGATAGATAGATAGATAGATAATTTTTATGTATTGTCAAATGGATATTTAACAGGAAATGAATGACCTAGGGTGTAGGTTCAAATTCCTCTTCTACTTCAGCCTCAACCATGTTGCTACTGTACCTTATGGATTCC